GAAGTAATCTTAAGTAATATCAGCATAGTTCCTTCTATCATATGTTAATACCAACAAGTTTGATATACTAAGTTAACACATACAAAACCAGATTGTGATAATATTTGCATGTACAAAACTTCTTAAGTAACTTATGAAAGTTCATTTAATTAGCCACTAAATTGCCATCAGAAGCTTCAAGTAATTATCAGGTTTGATACGTTTCTGGGGAAAACTCTCATCTGATTCTCATCTGATGTTATCAACTTGATTGAACTAACTTCATGAAGTTATAACTCATAGACACCATAGAGATTCTCAGGTCTCAGGTTATGAAAATATTTAAGTACTTCCTTAATTTTATGTAAATGAATAACTCTTTTGACTTTGTTAGATCATGTCCCTCTAGAACTTGGGATTGTTTTCATGATGGATATTAATGTCATCTTGCACTCAGAAAATTTGGACACTAATGCTAAGAGATATTATAAGTGACTGATCCAGCTTGGCTCAATGAACCACTCATATCTCTTTGAAAGCATACACATTGAGCACACCACACTTGTGAAATCCCTCTGAATACCAGCACAAGTCTTCACCCCAGTTGACACCCCTGCCTGGACTCATGGTTTCCTGATCACTGGTTGGCTGATCCAGCTTGTTGTTTGCTAGTGAATACATGTGTATACCTGCTCTGGGGAAGATACAGCCAGCGCCAGACACACAGGTTGTGACCCACAGTCCCACTCAAGCCATCAGTGCTGGACCTCTCACTCACCTCACTCACCAGTCTCTCCCAGTACATGGTTTTCAGGGCACACACTATTCATTCCCAGTTCAATTACTGGAGGTTTTAAGAACCCCACGCACTGCACTGGCATGCACAGAGATGCCATTTGTTCAGTTAGTGTGACTGACCAGGTTGGTTGTTGTAATTGCCTCCTCATAATGTCCAGTATAGATTTTTGGTCATGTTTGTACTTCTCTTACAGGGGTGAGCCATGAGCTCTTGGGGTATTAGAAGACCACAGGGGAACCCTGATGAAATATTTCAAAGAAAACAAGAGGTTCTCCTTTAAGAAGGCAACATGGCCAGTGGTCCCTCTGAAGTGCCCCTACATCAATGCATGCAGTATGGGAAACAAATGGGAGGAACTGGAAGCCACCACGCTACTATGAAGCTGTAATCTAGTTGACATTACCAAAACTAGGTAGGATGAATCTCATGACTAGAGTATGGCTACTGATGGCTACAAACTGTTTAAGAGGGGTGGAGAGGCTGACCTCTTCATCAAGAAATGGACAGATTTTGAAGAGTTGTCTTTGAAGAATAGCCACAAACAGGCTGAAAGATTAAGAATTAGAGACTGAGGCAACAAACGGAAACTTGTGCCAAATCAAGAGGAGCCTATTGACAAAGCCTTTTTATTCTAGCTACAGGAGGCATCACATTTGCTGGCTCTCAACCCACTGAAGGGCTTCAACCACCCTGACATCTGCTGGAAAAACAGCAAGACAAGCTATAGGCTGTCCAGCAGATTCCTGGAATGCACTGAGTGTAACTTACAGACAGTCTTACCAGAGGGGATGCAATACTGGATCTGATGGTCACCAATGCAAGTGAGCTATTGGTGACATTAAAATTGGAGGCAGCCTGGGCTGGAGTAATGATGCACTGGTGGAGTTTGCAATCCTGAGGGATAAGGGTCAGGTAAAGAATAAAGTCAGGACCCTGAATTTTAGGAAAGTAAAATTTCATCTATTCAAGGAACTAGTCAATAGGAAACTGCCCTCAGAGACAAGGGAGCAGAACAGAGGTGGCAGATTTTTAAGGACTCATTTCATGCAGCACAAAAGCTCTCAAACTCTGGGTGTAAGAAATCAGGAAAGGAAGGCAAGAGACCAGCATGGATGAGTCAAGACCTGCTGGTCAAACTAAAGGCCAAGAAGGAAACGCACAGCCAGTGGAAGCAGAAAGACTGTAGGGACTAAAAACAAAGCCCAGTTGTGTAGGGATGGGGTCAGAATGGCCAAAGCACAACTGGAGCTGAACTTGGCAAGGGATGTAAAGATTAATAATAAAGACTTCTATAGATATGTCAGCCAGAAAAGGAAGCTCAAAGAAAGTGTACCCCTTGCACCAATGAACAAAACTGACAATAATACAAGAGGAGAAAACTGATATACCTTTGCCTCAGTCTTCGATGGCAACTTCTCTTCCCACACCTTGTCTTACCTCTTGAATGGATGGACTGCAAGGCAGGGATTAGGGGAGCAAAGTTGTTCCCACTCTAAGAGAAGATCAAGTTTGTGACTGCTTGAGGAACCTAAACATACACTAGTCTGAGACCTGATGAGATACTTTCCAGAGGTTGATGTGGTTTTCAAGCCACTCTCCTTGACATTTGAAAAGTCAGGGCAGTCAGATAAAGCCCCCACTGACAGGAAAAAGGGAAACATTTCACCCATTTTTAAAATGGGTTGAAAGGAGAACCCTGGGAACCACTGACCTGTCAGCCTCCCCTCTGTGCCTGGAAAGATCATGGAACAGATCAACCTGAAGGATATGCAAAGGCACAGTGGAGGATGGGGAGGTGATTCAAGACAACCAGCATGAAGGTCATGTTTAGTCTGACCGACTTAGTGGCTTTCTGTGATGCAATGGCTACATCAGTGGACAAGAGAAAAGCTACAGATGTCTGTTTGGACTTCTGTAAGGCCTTCAAAGTGCCCCACAATATCCTTCTCTCTAAACTGGAGAGAGATGGGTTTGATGGGGTGGACTATCCAGTGGATGAGGAATTGGTTTTGTGGTCCCACCCAGAGGGTAGTGGTCGATAACTCAAGAGTCCAGATAGACATCAGCAACAAGTAGCTCCCTCAGAGATCTGTACTGGGACCAGTACTGTTTATTATCTTCATCAATGATGTATGAGATAAAGTGTACACCAGCTTCTGTCCCTCTACTCTCATCTGGTGCACCATGTCCCTCTCTATAGCCCTCAGCACAGGAAAGATCAACCTATTGAAGCAGGCCCAGAGGAAGACCACAAAAATGATCAGAAGAATGGAACACCTCTCCTACAGGGACAGGCTGACAGAATTGGGATTGTTCAGCCTGGAGAACAGAAGGCTTTGGGGTAACCTAATTGTGGCCTTTCAATACACAGAGTGCTTATAAGAAAGATGAGTACAAAATTTTTAGTAGGGATTGTAATGATAGGAAAATAGAGGATGCATTTTAACTAAAAAATAATAGATTTAGATTAGATAGACATTTTTGCAATGTGGGTGGACAGGCACTGGAACAGGTTGCCCAGAGAGGTGGTGAATGCCCCACCCCCAGAAATATTTGCAGTCAGGTTGGATGGGGCTCTGAGAAACCTGATCTAGTTGCAAATGTCCTTGCTCATTGCAGAGGGAGTTTGAATAGATGATCTTTAAAGGTCCCTTTCAACCCAAACTATTTTATGTTTTGTGTTTCTGAGAATTATTATCCTAATGCTACTTAGTTTACACTGTGTACTGTAAAATCCTACAGTCAAGATTTACTGCAGTGCAGTATGATAATTATGACTCAGAAATGGATACAACACTGAAAAGAATAAACAAGATCCAAAATGAGATTTCACAAGATACAGGTGAAGATAGTAAGAAAGAAAATTATTAATGCTACTGCATGAAATAAAGTTTGATAACAATTCAATTTCAATTTGATTTAAAATTCTAGTCACATTTATGAAAGATCTGTTCAAACTGGAACAAATGCCAAGAATAACTACCGACATTATCAGGGAAAAAAAAGTTGACAACATGAGAGGAAACCTGAAGTCATTGGCTTATTTAGTCTAGTAAGAGAAAGATTAAGAAGAGATGTTACAGTCAGTCATAAACAAAGTCTTAGGATAAATTCCCTAAGATTCACACTAGTTATTCAAACTAAAACCCCCAAATAAATCTAAGACATGAATAAATAAATATAGAAAGGTTGTCTGTACAGTTATAAATTTGAAGAATACAGACCTTGAAGACTAAAGAACGAACTTTAAGTAAACAGGAAAAAATGACAGGTTGTAAAAGGGGCTACATTCCAAAAATAGCTGTGTGCAGCAGAAAATAGGCTTCAAATCTTTTAGTGTACAGTTTTAAACAGAGGGACAACCACATCTTTTGACTGGCTAGTGACGCTATGTTTGATGCACCACAGGATGGATTTTCCCTCTTGGCTGCCAGGGCACACTGCTGACTCACACTGAACATGCTGCTGACCAGCACCGCAGATCCTTTCTGTAGGGCTGATTTACAGCCACTCCTCTCCCAATTTAGACTTTTTATACAAATTTACTAGTGTCCTAACATCCTCACAGTAAATAATTTTTTGCTAATATCCATGAGAGACTGAAATGTTAAGAGTTAATGACTTACTGGCCATTTGCAAAAGCAGGGTGTGTTTTGCAAGGTAACACCCTGGGTACAGAGGGTGTGAGCACCAGAGGATACTCATGACAAACCAACCTTTGTTTAGTGGCAAGCTGGGTTTTGAGACAGATAGGGAAGAGTCCGATAAGAAGTAGATCCTGAAAGGTGGGATAATGCCCCCTTACACAACTGAGTCAGGTGTGAAAACTCCCCCCTGGATGAGGTGTCTGGCCGTTTGTATTCACACATAGGCCTAAAGGTATTCATCCCTTCTGGTATGGCATAACTGACTCAACTATGCTGATGTGAGAGGCAGCTGTCATGTCTTAGAAGATATCATAAACCACCAAAGACTTCTAAAGCACCCACAGACTCATCTCTGGGGGTGATCCACAATGTTGCACCAGATCCACGGTGTTGCAACAGACACTGTAAAACCCCCAGGGGAGGTTTTACACTTGCCCAGGGGAGGGCATTCCCACTTAAACCTGAATATACATTAACCTATTGAACTCTGTGTTTTGTGGGCTTTCCCCCACCCACAACAGTTCAAGACTGTGACCATCACTTCAACGAACAGACATCGAAACTGCAACAGTCGAGTCTCGCTAGATCCACAGGTGATATTATCTTTCTACCCCTGTCCTTTCTTTCTCTTTCTGTTCCTTATATATGAATATCAATAATATTCATGTGGAGTATGAGAACTTAATTGTGGAGGTAAGAAGACATCTGAATTGGTCTGCTGAAAAAATTATCTAATGCAACCTTAAAAAAAAAAATCTGCACAACTATACAGCCCCTGTACCTAGACAATAGAAAAATTGTACTGAGAGAGAGTTTCCATTTCCTACAAGGAAATGGAAAAGTCATTGCTAAAACTTTCAACAATATCATCAGGTTTGTGAATCACTTGAATTCTGAGATTACACATTATAACTGATGCCCAACGAATTTTTACAAATTATCAAATATGTTTAAAGCAGAAGCTTTAAATATAAATTTAGTGATAGTCTTAGGATAATAAGTAATTTTAAGGATTATGTGTAATTTTAGTCTTGTATGTACTCAGTTATCACGATATGCCTTAGGAGTTTGACATCACAATAACATAATTTAAGCTACAGGAGGTAAAAAGGCCAGAAACATAAGTACAGATGTTAAAACACCTAATTGTCTTGAGAGCAATTATTTGAAACATTCAATACCTCACTATGTGAAACATTTTCCCCTATGGCATGCAATTATAAGCATCAGCTTGAATGTTACTTTTCCTGCAGATTCTACTGCAAGGCTTTGACAGAGGTGAATGTAATCAGTCATGTCAAGTAGCCATTATTTGTGCATGTTATTATTTTTACAGAAAAAGGGATTTTCACAGTTATTACCGAAAATGTTAGAGGGTTAATTTCTATTTCTGATAGAATAGATGGAAAGCCAGTTGCAACGCAATGGCTTAGTTTACATGAATAGTTTAAATTTCTTCAATAAAGTGTTTCAGTACTAATAATATATCTGCCAAAGTCTAAGTCAAAGAACCTTACCTTAGAGGGTTTGAAGCATTACATTTTATTCATTAATATGTTTTTAATCAGGAGAGGTTAACTGTGAGTATAAAAGCATATTTATCTATGATAAATACATGCAAAAATTATTAGATAAAATAAAGCAAATTGCCCTTTTTTATCTGCCAGACTTACATTTCTTAAGAAGGAATAGTTTCTTTGTTAATAAAATGAACTTAAAATGAATTCATAAATAAAACCTTTTTTAATAATTTTTTAGAGTAATGTATGAGCTGTTTTTTTCTGTACTGCTTGGCTGAGAAAAAGAAGTTTGGATTTGATTGCTCAGTTTTCATTATTTTTCTTCAACAGAAAGTCTTATGAAAGAAAAGTCTGAAGAGTAATGCAAGAATTTTGAAACTACATAGAAGTATATAAAGTGTTCCCATTTCCGATTAACAACAGTTTTTTTTCTGTATCCATGCATATATAAGAATAAGCAGCATTATTGCTTTCTAGGTTAGGAGGTCTTAGATATATAATTTGTGAAAATAAATAAATAAATAGCACTTCCTCATGCCAGAATATATATTGCTCTATATTCTTAGAAATTCACCAAGTATCTGTGGTTTAATTTTTAGTTGACCTCAATACATTATGGATGACAATGCTAGATAAATATTTTTGTTAAGAAATCCAGACAAAAGTGCCTTGGGATTTAGCTGCATGGCTCACAAATCTGTTCATGGTTTGTTGATTTTTTTATCTGTTTGTTTTTTAATATGCCTTTGTTACATATTTATGCATAATTTAAACCCAGAAACTAATACAAATAGGAAATTAAATATACAAGATGCTCTCTTTGTTCCTTTCTACAGTTCTCAGATAATGTGTAGAGTCTGTTCCATTTTCTATTAACCACTCAGTCCTTTCCTATCATGAAAAATTAATGCAGGTGGAATGTTAAGGAACTCACTTTGTTCTTTTTGCTGCCATAATCCTTTTAAGAATATTGGGATAGATGAAATCTCTTATCATGAGACTTCATTGATAAAAGCTGGGTTTTGCTCTACACAAGGTGATGCAGTCAATTATTTATAACCTTTGCTCATATACTTCCATTACAGAAGTTTATCTGGCTTATTGGATAGAAAGAAGTCTTGAAGGAAGTAATGAATTCATGCTTTGTCTTTAGATATTTCGAAACTCTATTATATTTTGCAGACTATGTTTCTTTGCAGTGAGGTTGAAGTTTTGGAGGGGTTTGTTTTGGTTTGGTTCTTTTTCTTCTATAGCTAACATATTGTAAAGCAGTACTACATTTACTGTATGCACATGCTAACTCTGGCATAATTTGTACCTATACTTCTTGTGGGCTTCATAGATTTATCCCTACAGTACCCATGGTTTAATATTTTATCTTATATCCAGGGCAGAGTTTTATACAATGAGTATAGTAATTACAATAAGTACAAAAATGTCAGAAAGGTTTTCAAAGGAGCCAAAGCACCATAAATCCATATCTGATCTTCAAAACAGTCAAAAAAGAAGAATGAACAACATTCTCAGAGTTCATAAAGCCATTTAATCACTGAATAAACAGTATGAAGCTTGCCTATCTCAAGAGGTTTTTTGAAAATACTTTTTGTCTTATTTTTTTTTTTCCTTTTGCTGACATATGTAGTAAGGACATCAGTTCTTTTTGGAGTGATTCTAATTTCAAAAGAGTCATGGCAGGAATAATGATGGTATAAATATCATAGTCTAACAGGACTACAGAAAATTCAAATTGTAAGGAACCTCAGAAGTTCATCTAAATCCAGCGTCCTGCTCAAAAAAGGGCCATGTCTGAGGACAGATCAGTTTGATTTGAACCTGATTAAATTGAATCAATGTCGTCGAAGCTCCAAGGATGAAGACTGCACAACATCTCTAGACATCCTGTTCCATTTTCTGATTATTCTCTCAGAGTAAAGATGTTTCTTGGATATAATCAAATCCACCTCCTTTCTGCTTATTGTCCCTCATCTACCTGTCTTGCAGCACCTGAAGGAGCCAGTATCTATCTCCTCGATGACCTGACTGCAGCTGCTGGGGCAGACAGCATGCATGGCCTGCTGTTCTCTGTCAAAGCCATCAATTAGTGACGCTGAACGAGCCCAGGTCCCTCAGCATCCCTCATATGGTAAGTGCTCCTGTCCCTTGACAGATTGGAGTCCCTCTGTTTGACCCATCCCAATCTATTGATGTCTTTCTTGAATAGAGGGGCTCAAAACCAGACATAATAATGTAGATGTGGAAAAATGAGTGCCAGATAAAGGGGCTCAGTCATTCCCCTAGACCTCCAGGCTTAGCACAGGCCTGGTTGCTGCACACTGCTGGGTCATGCGCTCAGGTTCTTCCCAGCAGATCTGCTCCCCAGATGATCAGGCCCCAGCCTGTCATTGCAGAAGTATCTTCCTTCCTATGCTGAGGAATTGACATGTATCCTGATTAAATTTCATAAGGTTCCTGGCAGCCCATTCCTCCAGCCTGTCGAGGTCCATCTGCATAGAAGTCATTGATCCCAACCACACTGACTCATTACTCAGTTTGTAGTCATCTGCAAACAGGATAATCAAGCACTCCATCACCTCCTCCAGATCATTAAGAAATATGTTAAACTGGGCAGGTCCCAGGATAGATGCCCCTAAAGTACTTCCCTTGCTACTGCTCCCAAGTTAGAATGTCACATTTTAATCACTACCTTTTGTGCTCAGTCTTCTAACCAGTTCTGAACACCATCCTCCAATCTAGACCATACAACCCTAATTTGGGAACAATAAGAGCTAAGGTGACTGTTAAAACTATTAGGTGAACAGGCTAGGATGAAATGTTTTAAATTAGTGACTGAATTTCAAATGAGGCTCTCCCAGATCTTTTTGTTTGGTTAGAGAAGAAGGAAGAATATAAAACTGGTATATTGATGTCATCCAATTATAAAGTGTGTACAGTTAACAGCAATCTAAAATCATATTCTCCTTAAAAATGTTACATTGACTTCCACAGCATTAAAGGCAGAGGACGTCTATAAATTCAAAGTTCTGGTTTTGGTATGATTGATCTTTATACAGGCTCTTAAAATAGGAGTATTTCTTAGATGAGATTATTTATATCCCCAAGAGTCTTCAAGACATTGAACACTCTGGCCTCCATCCAGAGGCCAGAAAATTAATCACATAATTTTCTATTCATTTCAGTCTTACGATTTGGGCCCTTGAATTTAAGCTCAAGTGCTTATTTGGACTTGGGTCAAACTGTTCAGCAGCATGCAGGAATGATTCTGCATTAAGTTATTAAGGAGAAAAAAAAATCTTAGTATGATATTTGGACATAAATTATAAAGTTAAGTAAAAGATGTTTGCTGTATAGGAGACGTGAAACAGGCAGATTAGTAAAGAAAATGCATTACAATTGGTTCCAAGAAAAACATTATATATAAATACTCAATTAACCCCTTGCTACTTGTAAAGATTATTACTGAAAAAGAAGTACTATCCCATATGTTTTAATTATTCCAGTTTCATTGCTATTACTATATTAGTTCTTTCTTTCCAAGAGAAGGTTTTGTATCTCAAAGACACAAGAATATATGATGAAAATTCTGTTGCAAATGTGCACCATTAAGTGCAAGTTTGTACAATTTAAAATTTAAGACTTTGAAGAGTTAAAGTATATGATTTCTATTTCTTTGACATATATACATGTTTACTTAATATAATATTGAAGCACAACAATAAAAAGTTTCCCCACTAACATGCAATATATGCACAGTTATAACATAACCTGCACTGAGATAGAATACACACAGACCAAAACCATAGCAGATGATTACAGTTATAAGCATTTATCAAATTCACTAATTTCTTTGTATTTGTGAAATACAAACACAAAAATTGTGATCACTTAGAATCATACAATGATTACTGTGGGAAAAAACCTCTAAGATCAAGTCCAACTATCAACTTTGCACCACCACCATGTTTACCATTAAACCATGATCTCAAGTGCCACACCCACAAGTTTTTTGAACACTTCCATGAATGATGACTCCACCGTTTCCCTGAACTGTCTGTACAAATGCTTGACAACCATTTCTATGAAGGACTTTTTCCTAATATCTAATCTAAACTTGTTCAAGTACTCCCAGCACCAAGAAGGAGCCACATTTAAATTCCATTGTCAAGACAAACAAATAAACAGATAATAAACATTAAAAGTTTGGCAGCAACAAATATATATCTAGCTTTTCTTTTGGGCTTCTTAATGATGGTGTCATTAGGAAAACCTGTTTAGGCATGCAGATAGGGAACAGCTGTTTGTGAGAGACCTTCTTTAAGGGCTGAGTAAAGTAGGCACAAGACCCTTTCTGATGATTTGCTGAGTCCTAAAACACAGCTATCAATAAGAGAGAATGTTATTGAAAGGCAGTTCTTTATCATGACACAGGATACTCAGTGTCTCAGCTCTATAAGTTATAACTAAAGAAGATAAAACATAATCAGATTTCTGTGCCAGAAATACATAGAAAAAATCTGGTCTATTCTTTGTACTGGTGATTAGTGCAAAGATACTGAAGACGCTATGACCAAGTATGGTGGTTTAATACCAGATGGAAATTAAGCTCCAAATAAACCACTACCCTTCACCCCCCCACCCCTTCCAATAAGGGAGGCACAAAGCTAGAGACTATGGGTTGAGATAACAAAATACTGAAAGCAAAAAGGAATGGAATAAGAAACACACAGTAAAAGCAGAAATATTAATAAGAAAAGTGTACAGAAAAAAAAAGATGCTTTACCCACAAAAAAGGTGTTCACCACCTCAACTTAGTTCTGCATGGCTCCCTGGGACAAAGACAAGGTGGTGGCCATTCCCACACCCATCACCACGTCGTTTCCCCAGACAAAGACAAGATGGGAGGTACTCTCCACAGGCAGCTCTCCCCCTGCCCTCCCTGAGCGTGAGGCAATGGAAAACAACGACAGACAAACCCCTGAAAGTTAGATGGTCTATGTTGTGCAGCTGCTTTAAAAACCAGACTTCATTCCATGTGGCTGCTTCTAGCACTGGTGCCACCACTTTGGACTACCTGGCTCCACTCAGCTGCTTGTTGACTCAGCTCAGCTTCTTTCAGCTTGGGTCAGACTCAGCTGGGCTCAGGATTACCTCCAACGATCTATTCCACATGACACTTCCCACACCACATCTTGGAGTAGCATCTCAGAGGAATAGGCAGGGGATGGGCAGTGGCAGCAGAGGACAGGGTCTGCAGAGCTGATTCTAAGGACCTTCCTGTTGTAGAGAGGAAGGAAAAGGAGCACACTTCTGGGTGTTCACACACCTTTTCCTCTCCCTGAAACCATGCCTTCAGCAACAACGTGGGTGGTATAGAATTGCAACATAGCCACACCCATATGGCACTAAGCTCCACCCCCTCTCTTCAACCAGGACGCCAATCAAGCTCCAGGCTTGACACACCATTCCATCAAATGATGGCAATTTCTGTAGAGAGGCTAGATATATGGTCTTTCCAGCTATTAGGTCATGTCAGGTCGTTTGGAATTTACTTCAGAGGTTTTTCACCACCTGATTACTTGTCATAGCACAGAAGGGGGCTTTCCACAGACAATTTTTGGAATTAAGGTACATTTATTAGTAACTGTGAGATGTCCACTTCCTAGAAAGTAGTTGCTGGGGAGGGCAAAATTATGGAAATAGAATAATGCAGGAAGTAGTATTTTTTTTTTGGTTAGAAAAAATAAAATACAGCATGTGGATTAAATAAACCAAAGGCTAATGTTTAAGTGGTAATCACGTTCTACCACAGATGTTCCTTGTTAGGAATGTATAGATGTGTATATACATATATCTCTAAAAATGTGTGTGTACATATGTGAGTGTATATATAAATATGTATCTCTCTATATATAATGCTATTCCAATACAACTTACAGTTTTTGGAGTAATTTGCTACATATGTATTATTTTAAGTAAAACGTGAAACATATTAAATTTATTTATTGTCTTTAAATAAAAGTTTAGCCTACGTTAATGTATAATTCACAAAAGAAAACTTAATAATGGAAATGAGAGTTTTCAATGTAAGAAATTATACAAGTGCCATGAATAAAATACTAAGGGAAAACCCACATTTATGTTCCTCAAAGAAGATGTATTATAGAAGAATAAGCCCCTGATTTGTCAAAAAACCTAACGCAGTAGTGTGAAAAGAAGAAAAAGAATGTACCATACTACAAAATTTCATTAAATCCTACTAATTTTATTTATCTCTTGAATCAGAAATTATCAAATGCTAGCAAGAAGTGGAAAAAGTCAAGTTTCTTTCCTTATCTATCAGTTTGAAAGGAACATCAGCCTCTGGATAACTGCGTTGGTTTTGTTTTCCCAGATGATGCACTTAACTCTATTTTATGCCAAAGAAAGCTTAAGGAAGTGTTCGTCCTACACCAGAGTATTAAAGACCCCAAAATTGTTCGTTCAGTTCAAAAAGGTTTTCCCCACCATTTTGTCATTTAATTAATTTCCACCAGTCCTAAACAATTTAGATGTTTCAAGTGAGTGTTTTCTAGTGAAAATAAATGTTTCCTAGACTGATCAAACCAACATACTCTACTATATTTAAATTCCAGACCTGATTCTCCAAATGCCTGTATTGCTATTACTTGCATTCATCTTCCTGATGATTTTGACTTCAAAGGTACTAAACATGAAAGTAAAATTAATCAACTGCAATAATATTTGCAGAACTGGGCCCTCAGAGAACATGTTATTCAGGCTAGAATTGCATAAAACACTAAAGAGACAATATTGTAAATAATATTCCTTTATGTGATATATTTTGAGAAAATGTAAACATGAATTCTCTTAGTCTAGAGGATACTGAGGTAATATACATCTGATGAAACTGTCTTCTTTGCACAGAACATTCAAACTGTCAAAAGGCAACAGTCCTTTCTTCTCACAGGGTTATTTAATTGTATGTATGCAGGAAGTGGCAATGTTTCCACAGAAAAGATTAACAGCTCACCTATTTTCAACACAACACCTGGACAGATAGAAGACAGCTAGACAATGAGAAATGTAACTGATTTTGCAAATGTAGAAAATCTATCCAGAATTTTC